ATATATATATATATATATATATATATCACTTTAGTTCCCAAATATTCCAAAATGCAAGATATAGTATCTAAAACAATTAAATTCTATTTTAAGAAATTTTCGGGGCTTTACAAAATCAAATTTTGCATCCTAACCAGCATAAAATACATGCCACGTGTATTTTCAAAACATGTTTTTGAGTTAACAAAATTCCAAAACAAAACCCAACCAGCCTCTATCTTCTGCCGAAAAACACGCCAGAAAATCTCAGTACTATTAAAAATGCTTAATCACTTGAAAATTTGCTGCCGGCATTACTACATCCATAGTAGAACTAAGCATTCTTTAAAGTCCAAACAAAATATAAAACTTAGATCCAGTCAACGAAATGTTCCAGTCTAAATTAACAAACAAATAGCAAATCCTAAAGATTTGAAACAAAGAAATAGCATATTTCACAACTGTGAGTAAATATTTGTTAGTATATTTAAGTGGATAAATACCGGCTTAACGAGTAAATATTGACAAATAGCGTATTCATAGCCGTATTTACAGGATCGATACCGTATTTACATGATAGATACCGTATTGACAGGATATATACCATATATGCAGGATAGATACCGTATTTGCAGGTCGATACCGTATATGCAAGACAGATACCGTATATGCAACTTAGTGGATTTACAATTTGTACATACCGTATATGCAAGTAATAGAGACACAGTACTCACATGTAACAAATACCTTATTAGCAACTTGCAATAAAATAACATAACATATAATTTAAATTGCAATAAAAGAAATTCCAAACCAAGGCCTGTGCGAACACAATTTCCTTAAAACAGATTCGTCTCCTCACCATACGTGCTTAAGGTTTAATTTGATCGTCTGCTTCACAGGATACAATGGTAAAGCAGTAGAATCCGAGCACCAAATATTTTACTCCGACGAATTGATTTAGTACCCGAACAATATCACCACCAAGAAAATCGAAACCAGAAAATTCGACAGAGACATAGTACTGTAAACTATGCAGATGCAGTATGCAAAAGAGTGATTTTTCTCCTTCCTTTTTTCGTGTATCTGAATTGTGGAAAACGGTTCTCATATATAGACTTTTAACTCTCAAAAATCTATCCATGGACTCATTGGTAATAACCACACGAGTTTCAAACATTATTGGAGTTTCAGAAACCAAAAGTCAGTTCTAGAAAGCAAAAAAAAAAAAAAAT